GAGCCACGTAGAGGAAGATGCCGGCGGTGGCGGTGAGGAGCCAGGGGGCGAGGGGGGTCCCGCTGCGGCCCAGGGCGACCCCCGCCAGCACCCCCAGGCAGGAGAGCAGGGCCGAGAGCAGGTTGAGGAGCAGGACGGAGCGCGGGGCCGTGCCCGCCCGCAGCAGCACCGCCAGGTCACCTGCGGCCACGGGAGGGTGGGAGAGGGGTTCAGGGGTGTCCCCAACCCCGGGGGGGACGGGGCGGGGGACAGGGACTCACCCAGCTCGTGGGGCAGCTCGTGGCAGAGCACGGCCAGAGCCGTGCTGAGCCCGCTGGAGAGGCTGTGAGAGAAGGCGGCTCCTGCGGGGAGAGGATCGCTCGTCCCGGAGCTGCGCGGCCGCTGCGCCCCTCGGCCCCCTGCCCCCGTCCCTGAATCACGGGCAACCCCTGTCCCCTTGTCCCCCTGCCCCCGTCCCTGAATCACCGGACAGCTCCTGTCCCCTTGTCCCCCTGTCCCCCGTCCCTGAATCACCGGACAGCTCCTGTCCCCTTGTCCCCCTGCCCCCGTCCCCGACGCACCGAGCACCCAGACCCCCCCAAGCAGCCCAAAGCCCCTGAGGGGTCCCAGGTCTCCAGAGGGGTCCCAGCCCCACTGTAGGACACTGTCCCAGCCCCCTGAGGGGTCTCACGCCATTGAGGGGTCCCTGTCCCTCTGTCCCTGATGCGCTCCTTGTCCCCCTGTCCCGATTCAGCGTGTCCCTCGTCCCCCACCCCTGCTGCACCTTGTGCCTCTTGTACCCCTGTCCCCTCTGTCCCCAACATCCTTCTGTCCCTGGGGAAACCTTTTCCCCCTGTCCCTGTGCACTCCTCCTCCCTCCACCTCCGTCCCGGTCCCGGTGCCGGTCCCGGTCCCGGTGCCGGTCCCGGTCCGCACCGATGGCCAGCCCGTCGGTCAGGTTGTGGACGCCGTCCCCCAGCACCACCATCCACACGATGTCAGCGGCCGCGGACGCGAGGGGCAGCGCGGGGCCGTGGGAGTGTCCGTGGGAGTGTCCGTGCGGGGGTCCCTGGGGGGGTCCCTGGGGGGTCTCGGGGGGTCTCAGCTCCAGCTCCGGGTCCGGTGCCGTCAGGTGTCGCAGCTCGGTCCCTGCGGCGGGACGGACACCCCGAGTCCGGTGGGTGCAGGGACCGGGACCGGGACCGAGACCGGGGGTTCTGCGGGGTGCGAGGGGTCGTACCTGCCCGTGACGGTGCCAGGACCCCCGCGGGCGGGCCGGGGGTCTCTCCATGGGGGCGTCCCTGGGGACAAGGCAGGCGTTGTGAGCAGAGCCGGCGCCGGTGGCGGCCCCGTGCCCGCCCGGTGCCCGCCGCTCTCACCGTGGCCTCCCGCCGGTGCCGCAGCATCCCCAGGAGCAGCTCCAGCAGGAAGAGCAGGTAGATGCCCCCCAGCACCGCCAGCCCCTGCAGCACCGCGGGGCCCGGTTCCCCCGGTTCCCCCGGCTCCTCCGGGTGCCTCCCCTGCGCCTGGACACGGGGACACGGCGGCTCAGGGGACCGGGACACCGCGGTGTCCCCCCGGTGGGACACGGGGGAGGGACCGGGACACCGCGGTGTCCCCCCGGTGCCACCCCCGCGGCGGGGCGGGGGTACCTACGTGCGGCCAGAGGTGCAGCAGGGCGTCCCCGCAGAGTGTCCCCACGGCCAGGGCCACCAGGAAGGCGAGGAGCGAGCGGAAGGAGCCGCGGCTCAGCAGCGGCAGCAGCAGCACGGCCAGCGCCGAGGGGAGGCTCACGGAGAGCACGGCCAGGAGCCCCCAGCCCAGCGCTGCGGGGACAGTCAGCGGCACGGCCCGAACGAGGGGGGCACCGGGAACGGGGCTTGGGAACCCAGGGATGGGAACCCAGGGATGTGGGAATGGGGGATTGAAGGGATGGGAATCCAGGGATGGGAATCCAGGGATGGGAACCCAGGGATGTGGGAATGGGGACACAGGGATGGGAATCCAGGGATTTAGGGACGGGGACTCCAGGGATATGAGTATGGGAACTGCAGGAATGTGGGAATGGGAACCCAAGGTACGGGGACCCAGGGATGGGAACCCAAGGGATGGAGACCCCAGGGATGTGGGAATGGGGGACCCAGGGATGGAGACCCCAGGGATGGGAACCCCAGGGATGTGGGAATGGGAACCCAAGGTATGGGGACCCAGGGATGGAGACCCCAGGGATGGGGACCCAGGGATGGAGACCCCAGGGATGGAGACGCCAGGATCAGGAAAGGAGGGGCGGGGGAGCGCGGCTCAAGTAGGAGGGCACAGGGATGGGGGTGGGGAATGGGGGCGCCGTGGGGGTGCAGGGATGGGATCCCCCACACCACAATGGGGACACAGGGATGAGACACGGGGATCCCTGGGGATGCAGGACCTGGGGACCAGCCTGGGGACCGCAGGGAGGTGGGGCCGGGGGCCAGCGAGGTGCCCCGGTTGGGGTTACCTGGCCACAGGGCCCCCCCCGGGGGAGGCAGCGTCACCTCATCGCTGTGCTGGATGCAGACGCGGCTGTCGATCTGATAGAGCAGCGCCGGGCACAGGAGCGTGAACTGCTCCGGCGTCAGCTGCGCCGCCGAGTCCAGCCCAAAATTCACCAGCAGCTGGCTCACGTTCAGGCACTGCTGGGCGGGGGTCGCGCTGAGCGGCGCCGGGGGGGGGGTCCCGGGGCTCCCCGCAGCTCCCAGCGCGACCCCCCCGGCCCCACTCACATCGTCGTGCGGGTGCTCGGCGCCGGAGTGCTCCAGGCCCAGGACCCTCCCCAGCAGGCTGAGGGTGGGCTGGTACTGCCGGGGGACGCCCCCAGCCCCGGCGGGCTCGGCGGGCACCGGCTCGGGCCAGCTCGGCGGCTCGGAGGGCGGGGGGCTGCGGGAGATCGGGGTGCTGAGCCCCCCGCCCCAGCGCAGCGCTCCCGGAGGAGCGGAGCCGCTCTCGGGGGAGGGGAGCGGGGACCCGCCGGTACCTGCGGGGTCCGGCAGCGCTCGGAGCTCCGGGAGCCGCGTCCCCGCCGTGCTCCCGCAGCGGGTGCCGGTGCCGGTGCTTGTCCTCCTGAACCTCCAGCAGGTCCAGGTGGCTGACGTGGCCGTGGCCCAGCTCCTCGTGCTGGATCTGGACCACCTGGACCCTGCCCAGGCCGAGGCTGCCCAGGAGCCGCGCCAGCCCCTCGAAGGGCAGCGTCCCGTTCTCCCCGTACTGCCCGAAGAGCTGCCGCAGGTAGTAACCGTGCTCCTGCTCCGCGTCCTCGGGGAGCCGCCCCGGGACCCCCCCGGCCCCCGGAGCCGGCGGCCCCAGCAGCCCCAGCAGGAGCAGGAGGAGCCCAGGGCGGCTCATGGGGCCGGATCCCGCAGCTGGGGGACAGGGCGGTGTCACCCCGCGCTGGGGAGGGGGCTCCGGTCACCCCCGGTCACCTCCCGGGACGCGAGTGGCGCACCGGGGCTGGGGACACCCGCGGGGAGCGGCGGCTGCCCCTGCGACCCCCCCGGGGGGCTCCTGGGGTGGGATTGGGGGTCGCGGGGGGCTCGGGGTGGAATTTGGGGTCGCGGGGGGCTCTTGGGGTGGGATTTGGGGTCGCGGGGGGCACAGGGTGACCCTCGTCCCCGAGGGGAGGTTTTGCAAGCGGCGCGGGTTCGGTGGGGAGTTAATGTTTCACCGCGAGCGAGATAAAACCCTCGGCACCCCCCGGCCCCAGCCCCCCGACCCCGCACGGCCGCGTCCCCCCCAACCCCCGAGCCCCCCACTCAGGGGACACCGGCCCGCCCCGCCCGGAACCGGCCCGGCCGCTCCCCCCCCACCCCGGCCCCGCTCCACGTGGGAACGGATTTTGGAAAATCCCGGGAGCCGCCGTCCCCCGCTGCCCCCCCAAATCCCACCCCAAGCGCCCCACGGGGGTCCCCACCCTCCCCGGAGGCGACCCCCGCCCCCCCCGAGCAGCGTGGGACCCCCGCGGGTGCGGTGCTGGTGTCACCCGAGCCCACCGGGACCCCTCCCGTGCCCCCCGAGACCCCTCCCGTGCCCACCTGAGCCCCCCCCGAGCCCTCCGGGACCCCTCCCGGGACCCCTCCCGGGCCTCCCGCGTCCCCTCCCGGGACCCCCGGGATCCCCCCCGAGCCCACCTGATCCCCCCCGGGACCCCTCCCGTGCCCACCGGAGCCCCCCCGGGACCCCTCCCGTGCCCACCGGAGCCCCCCCGAGCCCACCTGAGCCGACGGGGACTCGCCCCTGGCCCTCCCCGCGCTGTCCCGATCCCGTCCCGCGCCTGCCGCTCCCGCCCCGGGGGGGGCCAAGGGTCACGGCGGAGCTGCTCCCGGCCGGCCCCGGTACCGGGAGGGGCCGCGGGGAGGGCCCTGAGCGCGGCGGGGGGGTCCGGGCAGAGCCGTGGGCAGAGCTCGATTCTTTATTAACCCCCCGTGATGGGGGGGGGG